GAGCGGCAGGGGGCTGTCTTGCCTGGGGCAGCACAAAGTGTAAATACGCCGCTGAGCCCCATCCAGTGTTTCATTTTTCAAGCAGATACTCCTTGTTTATATAGTAAGAAGTAATCTCTCCTTCACAAAATGACACATTTATCTAATGTGTTTGGCTTAAATACTTTGTATATTTTGGGGTCTGCATTATTAAATGCTTATGAATAAAATAGAGCTTGCCAGACACATGGGCAAACAAGCATAATCTCACAACTAAAATATAAGAGAAAAGCTCTGTATAAAATTCACACTAGCCACTGAATGTGCAAAAATAATACTTTTATTAGACCTTTAGGGCCCATTCACACCAGCGGTGCAGATTATGCTCCCTATAATGTGCACCCGCTGGTGTGTGTTGTGTAGGGATGGTGCCATTCCTTGTTACAGTACATTGCACTAAGTAGTTTTTTCTTTTTTTTTACTTTATTGAAATGTCACAAAATGACATTTCATTCATTTTTATGGACTGTAGGGCATTGCGATGCAGTGTAGTGTGTGCATATAAATCCAGCATGACCTACTTTTCTTCAGTGAAAACCAACACAGTGCAGGACACATGGGACATAAGGCAATTTGCTTTTCCTATGCACTGGAACTGTGTTGTGCAGCATTAATGCATAAGGTGTGAATGGGCCCTTGCAAAAAATGGCTTTCTGCAAACTGGACCCTACAAACTTTCCCTGCCAAACCTCATATATTATAGGGTAACTCCAGACAAGCATCCAGTAGAAATACATATACGTGAACAGTTTTACCTCAGAGAATATTTGTCATTCTGCTCAGGCATTCTTGTATCCCCTGCTACACTGAATTGGCCAGAGGCTGACACCATTGCAGGTTTGCAGCTTGCTGTATCACTTTTCTGTTGCCCGCTACGTAAATACTAACTAAAATACAGAATTTTCTGCTGACTTTCTTCCACGGGTACAAAGAACTGTAGGTCAACTTGTCAAGCTAATGAGATTTTAGCTTTGTTAGCTTTGGGTAGATGGTTAGTTATTTTGATTGTCTGCTGCCTTTTCATATATTCAGCAGCAAGGCCATTCCATTGTCTTAGCAGTTGTAAGGGGTCTTTTCTCTCCCTTTCAAATGTGACCTCCACTTCGTTTTAGAGAGGGTGGAATAGTTGAGCTTCATTATTCCAAATTCATTATTGCAGACACAATTTCATCAAAAAACCTTCCCAAAATAAAAAGACATCAAAGTATCTTAACTGCAAACTTCTATATTTTCACCCTTGTATTTGGTGAAGTCATTTTGCCATAACCTAATGAACTTTCTTTTACAAAAGTGAACCTTCATACACATAGGGGTTGATTTACTAAGCTTATAAACACACCACGAACATGTATACACCTCTGTAGTGTGTTCCCTCCCAGCATGATCTATGGGTGGAATCTAAACACCTTTGTAGTGTGTACACACCCAGCAGGTGTGTTGTGCATGAATTGCAAGGTGATGTTGTGTAAATTAGCTCTATGTTGTGTTGCTTGCGTTGATGAATGCAGGAATGTAAATGCATGAGCTAACCATTTTTGTCTAAACTGTGAAGCAGCATTATATATGCATCATGTGCATGATTTTTCCATATATGGCATTAGTGGAAATATGCTTTTAGAGACTTTTTGGTTGATAAATACGTTTTGCTGTGTGAAAATCACACGCACCTGGTGCGTGCGTGTGTTTAGGTTAGTAAATCACCCCCATAAAGTCATAACAGCCCAACATAAAATAGCAAGTAAAATGTCTGGGTATACTTGCGACCTGTGAGGATTCTTTTCCATCATGCCCAATGTCTCTTTCAGGACTACTAACATTGAGAATACTATTAGATCTTTATTGGAGTCTAGTACTTATTCCAGAAAAACTATATTTTCAAAGATGTTGAGTCAACTTCCCAAGCCCCCTTGGCTAATTTACTCCTGAACTTCTTAAGGTGCCCATACACTTTCCCATTTTTGTTCAGAAGTCTTCCATGAATTGTCTTACAAACAAAAATCAAACAGTTGACCCCGCACAACTTTTCTCGAAGGGTGAGGCTAGAAAACGTTTTTTTTTGCATCAATAGAAATAGATGGTTTAGTGGCGTTTGCGTACGAAAACAAAATCACAGCAAGAACGCTGCACATGCGCTAAACGAAAATTAGTTCTGTCGATCAACAAAATTCGGTGAGTTAGTATTGCTAATGAACGATTATCGAAATCGATATTTTTAAATATAGTTATCTTAAATCTGTACTTATACTGTAGTCTTGCAGACACACATACACCCCACCGAAACTAGCGCCCCTATTTTTTCTATATGTACTCCATAAAACGTACCCCTTTGTGCTTTATAAAAATCACCTACTTTCCTATTCTCTGACTTCCTAAGCATCTGATAAACACACCATAACAGACATTTGCTGTTTACATTATTTTGAAATTTTAAAAAAGTTAACGAGTTAACAACAACCTGGATTCTACCACCAAATTACCAGCTCTGCCTAAAATAATGCTGAATCTGTCTATAAAAAAAACAGGTTGATCTGGGATACCCGCCTTCTCTTTGTTCCAAAGGTGATTACTTGCCTGTTTCCTCCAAAAAGGTATTGGGTCTTTGAGAACCCCAGTAAAGCTGGCAATATACCTTGCGATTTTTGTTCAGGAATTTCCGTTGCTGCCAAGAACCCTCCTTCGATTTTTGCTCAAATAGCCCATCAAGCACAGACCAATGATGTTTCGATAATCATTCATTAGCAGTACAAACTCACCAAATTTTGTCGATCGACAGAATGGATTTTCGTTTGCGCATGTGCTGTGTTCATGTTGCAATTTGTTTCGTACGAAAACACCAATAATCCATCGATTTTCGTACTATTCGAAAAAGGTTTTCCAGCCTGACCGATCGAGCTAATTCGGCCAGTTGTACAGTAATTGTTATCGTTCACTTCCCATCAACCGGGGAAGTGAGTAACTACAAAACTGCAGCTCTTGTGAGATTGTTCCTGGTCTGCAGTGTTCAAGACCTACCAAGGAAGGAAAACTAGTAAACTGGCGATAGGGTCATGGGCAGCCAGGGCTCATTGATGCACGTGGGGAGTGAAGGAGGCCCCACCTCACAACTTGCAGGACTGTAAGGATCTGCTACTGACGTCTTAGTGGCAGATACCACGGCATACCTTCAGAGGTCTGGTGGAGTCCATGCTTCGATAGGGGGAACTACTCAATATGAGGCGGGTAGTCATAACGTTATGGCTGATCAGTGTATATTCCAGTGGTCTGCCTGGTTAAATTGAATAGATTATTTAGGTAGGCCTCATGTTACATAGTTTTTGTAAACCTAAAGGAGATTGTAAAGTGTTTGTTCAATTAGCATGCAGGGCCTGCTTTAACCACTGAAGAAAAATTCTGAGTACTTGTTGTGGAAATTTTATTAGGATGTGTTTTTAGTGTATTGTAATGTTTTGTCATTGGTCTCTCAGTGTCGGGTAAATAGACACTGGGGGATTAATCCATTGGAGGAGATTTCTTATGCGTGGCGGAGCAGTGTCTTCTTGGCGAATGTATGGACGCCGGCTGGGGCCCCCCGTGCAATGCATGGATTTATTGGCTTGCGTGGATACATTTGTTTGGAACGCAGTATATGAAAGGAACGTGCGTTTGTTCTCTCTGGGGTGCCTGATCAACACGCTTGAGATAATGACGTTGTCCCTGTGAATGAGCGTGCATGAGAATCCTAGTAACCTTATGTGGCATTGCTCACTGAGCAACGCGGGATAAAGTCACTCCGGTGGTCATTGATTGTTACTACATGTGATTTGTTAGCTGACTCCTGTTCCCTTCCTGTCTGTCCCACTTCCTGGTTTGCTGGTTGTTGAAATCATCTGTTGGTTTTCCATCACTTCCTGTCTCGCTGTTTGAGACACCCCTTCCTGTCTGACATCACTTCCTGTCTCGCTGTTTGAGACACCCCTTCCTGTCTGACATCACTTCCTGTTGGGCAGGTATAAACAATAAACATACCTGCGCTCAGGGCTCTTAGCATGGGATTAACGAACAAGCAACATCTG